GCCTTCTGTGATGGGAAAATGCTGAGGACCTAAGAATTTAATTAAAAGGTACAGTGGCGTGATTATGAGTGGATACCTTCCAGAAGTAAGGCATCTCTCTTAAAAAGGACCTGTGTCCTTCAAGCCCAAACTCTGATTGATAAACCTCATGGTAAGAATTCAAAAGCTAGACAGGTTTATACTTTTTTTGAAGAATATGAAGGGAATCAAGTGTGAGAGGGATGTAAAGAGCAACATACGGTCAGGTTCAGAGAGAATAGAGGGGCAACAGTGTGTCTGAATAGTCCAGTTTTGGCCTCTGAGCTCGGTCAGCTGATACACCACAGGCTCTTGTGAGCAGAGCAGAATGTGGATTTGCAAAGGACACATGCTGTCTATTTATGGCCTGCTGCTGCTATACAAACACCTCTTTATCCCTACTCAGAAAAATGATTTTTGGCAATAATTACAGCCAAGGGCTTTGTTTGTACTGATGGATTGATCAGTGGTTCTTTACTATTGATTGTGATTGTGCTCTGTGAACACTAACTTTCTGTTGATACCATTTGCTTGTTATGATAAAGGTCCAAGCCACTCGGTGTGGATATTTGTAGTGGGCACCTCCAGTGAGGTATTAATAGGCTTGGTATCTGTTACATTCAGAAAAACATGGCCTGTGTCATGACAGTAACTCTCCACCCTCCAAAAAAAATGGAACTTAAGATGATGCTTTAGATGCATGCCTCCATTTCAAAGTGAACTTGAACTATGTCCCAAGGTTTCTGGTGACATCCTGATTTTTTGGATTTTGAGTTGTGTTCTGGTCTTTGGCTGGGATAGAGCTGGTTTCTTAGTAGCTAGAATAGCACTGTGTTTTGATTTCCGTATGAGATTTGTTATGAGAAGAACACTGGTAACATACTAATGTTTTCAGTTGTCGCTGGAAGTTGAAGGACTTCGTATTTTGCTAGTCTGCAGGTGCAGGGTGGGAGGTGTAAGCAATATTTAAATTAGTAAGCTAGATTGGCATTTGGTTCAGTATGTTAATGAGGATCTCTTTCTCTCTGGGTCTCTCCCTTGTGGGGGCTCTTGCTCAGGGCTCTGGCTTTTCTGGGATTATGGTTTTCAGGATTGTCAGTGCTCCAGGATCGTTATCCAAGAACAGGCTGGGCTTAGTCACAGGTGGTGAGCAATTGCACTATGTATCACTCATTTGCATATTTTATTATTATTATTATTTTAATATAATTAATCTTCAGTTTTATTTTATTTCAATTATTAAATTGTTGTTATCTCAACCTACAAGTCTCCTTACCCTTACCCCTCCAATTCTCCCCTGTTCCCTGTGGGAGAGGAAGAGTGAGTGAGTGACTGTGTTTGGCTGCCAGCCAAGTGAAACCACCACAGGTTGTTACCAGACTCCAAAACACCACAGTCTTGCCCTGTTTCCAGAGTGCTCATCCGTGTGTCACCACAGGTTAGGGTGGAATCAAGTGCAGTACTGCTCTGCTGTGTTGTACTCCAGGTGAGAGAGCAGGGCTTTTCGGGTGCTTGTGGCTGCTTGGAAATTGCTCAGGAACCCAGACAGTGTTTGTGTTACACTGATATATTTTAGAATGCGGTCAGGTTTGTTGAGTGCTAAGAAGTTGTTCTCTTGCAGTCAGTATTGTATAATGCATAATACTTTTTTTTCCCCTTATAAGGAACAACGTAAATGCTTCCACTTTTTTTAAACTGTAATGATTTTAAAATTATACTAAATAAACTGTTACCAACAAACTTATTGCAATAACTCTGAAGGTGCCAGTGAGAACAGCGGTGCCACTGTAGCATAAAGTAATGCATGAACACTTGGAAAGATGCAGTGTTGTCTTAAAGCAGATGTAGTTGAAATTGATAGAATATGTAACAATTAAACAGTACCAGGATGAAGGAGGGAGGATCCAAGAATTAAGTTTAAAAGCTGAATTAGTCATGTTTCCACAGCTGAACTCAGAAGTTGCAGAAATACTTTTGTCCTGTTACAGACCTGGGAAAAGAATGTGTAGTGCAAGAGTACAGAACTGATTTGTGTCAGCGTTGTTGTGCGTGAGTTGTCAGTCGAAAATGTGCCACACGTGTCTTCAGTGTTGTTGCTAATGATATGCATGAAGACTTAATTAAAAAATAAAGGAAAAGGGGAAAAAAAAGAAAAAAAAGGAGGGGGGAGAAGAAAATACAGAGCCTATGGTTATCATAGTAACAGTGCTTTGTTGATAACATTATGGTCATCTGCTTTCCCTGTGAGTGGCAAACCAGCCAGGATTTCATGTACCTACCTCTAAGGACACTTTCATCATAAGCAGGGCTGGGAGGAGCAGGAGCATCTGGTACTTTATTTTTTCCCCCTCTTCCACACAAATAGCAGCCAGTAGCCTGCACTTATGTTACTCTGAGGAAGGACATCTCTGCTGGCTAGCTGTGCTGTCTGCACCTGGGACTTGTGTTGAGTTCAAAGAGAGCTGCAGACAGCAAATCATCCCGCAGCGCAGTGAGAGCAGCTCCTGTGCAAGTGGTGTGCTAGTGCTGATGAGAGCTGCTGCTGTAACTGGTTTAGTCTGGCAGCTGCTTTATTGCAGTAATAAATTTCATCTGGGTTTCAGACCAGTAGCTCAGATGTCCAGTAAAAATGTCTTTTAGTAGGAAATGTTTGAAGGGAGCAAATGCTGTATCCATTCTCAGCAGTAATGATTCTTACTGGTGTTTCAGTGCTTGTTCTAGGGGGCCCAGTCTCTGTTCTTAGGGCTTGATTCATTTCATTCCATGCTAGTATTAATGAAAGTTAATTGCCTTGCGAATTTCCTGCAAATTGCACTTCCTTACAAATTATGAAGAGATCAATGTCAAATACCTTATTTGATGTGACAGCTTTTTTGATCCAAGTAAATCTTTTCCTACAAAAAGTAGTGTTCTAATAAATAGTTCTGACTGTTTCTTCTGACAGTTAATTTTCTGCTTGTTGCAGATTTAATACACATGGATTATTCAAGCTAGGTCTGAATCAGGACAGAATAATAGCTTTTGTGAATAAAAACAGATCAAAAAAACAGGCGTTGTTACTTAAGTCTAACCAGGACTAGTTTCTGGCTGAGTGTTTGCCTGCTACTTGGTGACCAGGAAAGGACCTGGTTGAATTGCTTCCTATTACACTGTTCTTTTTAAATGGAAAAGCTACTGCTGTTTCCTGTGCATGTGTGTGCACAGACAGAAAGTCTTAATTCTGCTGTGTAGATATTCTGTAGCAAGACGTTTTGTATGGCATGTGACTGTACAAGAACATTGACCGAGTAACAAAGTCTGCAATGCGTGGTCAGCCAGTAACCCAAAGAGGAGGCTTTTATTGTGCTTTTCTTAGACATGCATGTATGGATGTAAAATGCATATATGAACAATAGTGGGTTTTTCCATCCCAGACTCTACCCCTTATTTGCTTATTTTTATATTTCTAATTTAGCTTTTTGGAGAACAGAATTTAAACTATTTCCCTTTGTTATGAAAACACTGCAGTGAGCTGTAAAAATAGAAAAAAAGTAAAATCCTAAGGATCCTAAACCTGCAGTAATTTACTTGTCACCTGAATTTGTGCAGATGCTTTAATCTGGTCTTGCTGCTTCTAAAATGAATATATTTTCCCATTTTCCTAAAGTGCGCCGATTCACAGAGAGGCTGGATACTTGATGACACATCATTCAAATAACCTTATATAGTAAAGAGCAGATACTGCAGAAAACCTTTGGTTGGTAGAATTTGCTGCAAAAATACATCCACTGATATTCTGTACCTATATATATATATGCACACGCGTGTGTGTGTGTGTGTGTGTGCATGTGTTCCGTTGTAATTTTTAAATGGAAACCTGAATGTCCTAAATAAAAAAATCGGAGGGAATGGAGGAGAATCTTAAACACAAGGGAACTGCTGCTCGATTCAGTGTACTGGAAATTTTGTGTTAAAAGGTGTGGAAAGGTTTTGTTTCCATTTGAGGCTTTGCTGACCTCTGCCGGAGAAAGAATTATTTGCAGTTTTACAGAGATCTTTTACGCAGTGCATCTGTGGAGAAATGTTCCCTCTCTAAATTCTGAAGGAAAAAAAATCACTGTAGCTCTTTTTTCCTTATATACTATAATGTGATTCCAGGAAACTTAATTCTCTTCACTTCCTGTTACTACGTTGTTCTTAGTGGCAATGAAAACTGCTCTGCCTTGTAGTAAAGTGTTGGATAGGGGAGAGAGCAGGGAACATCTTCATGTTCCTAGCTGCAGGGCTGTCAGCATTTTGATGAAGGAAGAAGTGTGCTCTTGGCAGGTAATGAAAATGCAGTCCTAGCAACTAGGAGGACATTCTTGCTTCTGCTGTTACCTTTACTCTTGGAGGATCACATCTGTCCAAGCACACTGAGCCACCATCTTCTCACAGCTCTCTGTGCATCCTCTCTGGACATCTTATGTGTTTCTCTCGGCTCGGTAGAGTTTAAACTGATCTTTCCTCCAAAACTACTGCTGTTATTCCGCTTGACAGTTAATCAAGCCTGGAACACAGAGTTAATTTTACACATCTCCATCATCTGATCCACAGAATTCCCCTTGCAGTGTGTCTTAAGGTTCAACTTTTTGTGTTCTCAGAGCTAAAACTGCATCAGTCCTCAGCTGTGAAGTGATTATTAAATATGTCTTTGATATATTCTGATACCTGTGGCCAGTGCATGTCCGTCATAAAACCATGTATATTTTTTCTTCTGGTGTGATCCAAGAAGATTGAACTTGGAGACCAAGATTGATGGCAAGATGCCTTAAGTGTTGTACCATTTTATGTTGTTTCCTGTATTGCTATGCAGCAGCTAGTAGAAGTACTTTTGAAATAAAAAATTAGTCAGATACAAATATTTGAGAAGCCTCAAACTTAACTAATAATCAGTCCATGTACTCTGTGACTATCCAGGATTTTGATTTTGTGCAGTAACTCTAAATTTCACTGTTTTTTAGGATATTCACATTGTACAGCAGATCGTTGCCGCTAGACTTGGCATGTCGTGTCTGGGATGTGTTCTGCCGTGATGGAGAAGAGTTCTTATTCCGCACAGCCCTGGGAATATTAAAACTTTTTGAAGATATTTTGACCAAAATGGACTTCATTCATATAGCCCAGTTTTTAACAAAACTACCAGAGGACTTGCCTTCGGAAGAATTCTTCACATCTATTGCTGCCATTCAGATGCAAAGTAGAAACAAGAAGTGGGCTCAGGTAAAGGGGATGTTGATCTTTGATAACAGATGATTGTACTGTACTCATGACAACATAGTTTGGCAACATCCGGAAGAATGTTTTAGCAGAGCTAGTGTTCGATTTTACAGGTAGGTAGGACTATGTAGCTCACTCCATGCTTTTAGTACACATTCAGGTGAGTGGCTTCCCTGAGCTTTTTCCCCTCTGGAAAGGGAGAGCTCAGTCAATATTCAAAATTGAAATGTTAGGTAGAGTTGATGAAGTATCATATGACTTTTAGAATGTATGAATTAGAAAGGCTGCTAACAGCCTTGATATTACAACTTGATATCAATTACAACTTGATATTTAAAAGCAGAAATTCACTCTTTGGGGGAAGATGACAATTTGTCAGGACATGTCATCATACAGTCACTATCTTAATATCCTTGAGGATCTAGTTTGTCTAATTTTGGGCTGTAAAGAAGTGACTACATCTCTGAGTTCTTCAGTGGAATTTAGCACTGAAGCCTTTACTTCCAAAATTGTAGTCTCATCACTGTAATTCCAACTAAATTGCAGCTTAAAGTAAAAAGATGGAAGTATGTCATCTGAATTTGGAAGTTGTTAAGTGGCTGTAACATCCATTCGTGCTGGGGAGTTAGGTCAGATGCACTCCATAGCATTTGAAGTGTAAACACAGATGTGGCACTTCTGGTAACAAGGACTCTGGTTATCAGTAGGAAACCTGCAAGCTCTGTTTTTCTTCTGGAATTAACTACAAATAACTCCAGGGCCTTGTGCCAGTACAGCCTTAGCCTGGAGTGTGAGTGACTGCTGTCACACCCACCACTTTGTCATCAACAGCAGAGAAACAGAGATGGTAGAACATGCCTAGACCGTTGGCTTAGCATTTGTGTCATCTGTATGTTACAAATCTTAGCTCTGTAAAGTTTTCAGAATAACTAAAGAATCTGAGCTCTGTTAGTTGGCTTAATGTCTGTGCTTTTCTGGATCAGTATTTTGGTGTCATTCTCTGTTTCCAGAAATTGCTGAAGAGCCATCCAGCTGTGGCTCTGCTCAGACCCACACTGCAACAGCTGTGGGTGCTTTTCCATGGAAGCATAGGCAGTTTTGTGTGGTTGCCCTATGAGTGATTTAGTCCTGTTAATTCTGATGGTGCAGAGGTTTGAAGTCGATCAGAGGGAGAAGAGAAGGCTGCTTACTCGTAACTGCAATTCTTTGAGATTAAATTCCCTTCAGACAGCGTCCTTTAATAGTTATAGATTTGTGTAATCTGGGTAAGAATCTCATCTCCAAGCTTCAAAAGTGTGTGCTGGGGGAAGATTGAGTTTACACCTTTGTTATATCTATTTGTATCTACCATGCCACAGGAACTTCTGGGTGAGGTCTCCATCAGTAGAGAGGTTCTCTAAATTTGATTACATTTAATAGTTAAAATAGTATCACTCAGAGATAGTTAAATTGGAAACACTTCAGACAGTGATTTATTCAGGCATTTTTTAAATCTAATACTTCTTTCTCTCTCATTCCTTGAAATGTCTAGATTCTGGCTGCTCTGCAGAAAGATAACCGGGAAATGGAAAAAGGAAGTCCTTCACTCAAACGTTAAAACTATGATTGCCTCCAGTGACTCACGGGAAAAGAGCTGAAGTGGCAGAAGTATTGAGTACTGTCTGACGTGTATGAGCCTGCAAATCAAAGTGTTCTTTCAGAGTTTTGTTTAGTAGTAGGATAGCCTTAAAGAGGAGAGAGGAAGAAAGAGGAGAGGGAAAAAAAAAAAAGGAAGGAATGCAATTGTGATAAAACCCTTATAAGTGAAACCTGGGCTTAGCCTTAAACTTTTAGTGGAATGAGCATTTGCTGTGGACAGCGTTACACATTCTGTATTTCCCATGAGGGCAGTGAAACTAAACAATATTAAGTGTGGGGTTTTTTTAAAAAAAAAGTTGGTTTCTTTTCTTTGGTGTTTTGAAAAACTGGGCATTCAGCAGTGTTGGTTGCTTTGAAAGCTGTTCCCCAGTTTCATTCTTGGGCAGGATATATTTCCCATACCCATAACAGTAGCTGGATCTGGATTTTAAATAACTGGTGCTGGAATTTATAGTTATATGTTGTAAGGACCATTTCTTTAGAAAGGCTTCTTGTTTTTTGTAGGATGTGGGTCCCATTTACCAAAGAAGTCATGTAGACCTAGAACTACATTCCATTCTTTAATAAGACAAAGTTAAGTAGAAAGTCAACTTGGAAGAGCAGTCATGCTGGCAGTGCAAAACCAGTTATTCTTCAAGATGCCTTGGAAATCTGTGTTCTAATCTGGATGCATATGGAAAAGGTTCTGTTAATCAGACTAGATTCCAAACTCAGCAGGGGTTTCTAGTATTAACCTGGCATCATTTCCCAGTTGTCCTCTTTCCTCTGTTTAAAGCCAGGGTCACATACTACTCAGTGTATGTTTCCATGTTTTCCCTCTTCTGGGTCAGTGCCATTTCAGGGCGATCTTGCGTACCAGCTACTTATTCCTGTGCCGCCTCTCCAGTCATGCTGATAAAACTGTGGGCTGAGCAGAAAAATTTAGAAATGGTTAAAAGCAGTTTTTATAGTTACTTTAAACCCAGCTTTGCTCACTGGCAAAACTGAGGAGGAAGGGTGTAGGGGAGAAGTTCTGTAAGCCAACATTGCTGCTGAAAATAAAAGATTCTGTGAGATCTCCTGAAGCTGCTGCTGCCACAGTGGGAAAGCATTACATGGAGCTGATCTGTATGTAGTGACAAGTGAAAGAAGTTTATTGGGGAATGTGCCAGACAAATACTATCAGGGTAAGTACAAGCTGTCATTTCCTAGCATTTTATCCAGCCTCTAACACATGGGAGCAAGTTACAGAGACAGCAAACTGTGGTTGTATAATTCTGTTACACAGCCTAGATCCCCTCTGCATTCACATGAATGTTGAACTGTAAATCATGAGTGCCTCTGATTTACAATAATGTTTATTGCATAGTGTATAGTGTAAGATCTATTTTATAAATAATGACGATCATTGAAAAGGGAAACTAACTGAAGCAATATTTTTAACTTTAAACAGGCTTTACTAAATCCTCTAGCTACGTGGTCAGCAGTTTCCCAGTGCTCTTCAGTCTGTTTTATGCTGATTATTTTGGCATTGTCTGAATAAATAAATGAGAATAATAGTTGTACACTGCTCAACTCAACATACAATGTAAAGGACTGAGGGACACAACCAAAATACTGTCCTTTTAGTACAGACATTGTTTCTGTGAGGGATAGTTTGACTGTAATATTAAAAAGAGTGAGAGCAAGATTCCCTGGTAAGTGAGGACTCATAATCCCTTTGGAAGGTGTGTAATGCAAATGCAGCTTGCAAGTCTGATACCTCATCGACCTCTATTCCTGTCCACTTTGTGTACCAGGCGTAATGGATGTGGTTTTTTTGTTGGCCATCTTAATTCCTCCATAAGACTACTTCTAGGTCATCACTTACTGAAAACAGACATCAAGATGTTGATACAAAACACGTTTTAATTCTCCCAGAATTTGTACAGCTTTGGTCCTTCAGTGACTGGTACTTGTATGCTGCATTGCTTTGAAGTGCAATAGAAAGCTGGAAGGTCAGTAAGTGTTTTTTAATATTACTTTTTCTGTTACTACAACAAACATGCCTTTCCGTGAAGGATACGAGAGCCCTACCATCTGAAACATTTGCACTATGCTTTTAAATGGTTTATTAAACACAGAGACAACTTTTTTCCTCAGTATACGTTTTTAGGTGGTACTGTAACTGGCTTTGTGATTTTAAGTCTTCATTGCGACTAGATTTGTATTTCCTTTTGAACCAGGTCTACAAGTGTGTCTCATTTCTCTGGTTGAAATGCATTCTCTAGCTGCTGTGTATCTTTGCAGCCATTCTTTTTCTCTTCTCAGTAAGATGTTGAATGTAACAGTGAAAATGGGCACAGTTGTGGGAAAAGGCCTGCTGCAACACTTGTGCACTGTTTGTTATTTGCAAATGTAATTATTTTGGTTTGTGATTTGATCTTTCTGTTCTTAGAAGATGTATATATTTTCTAAATGATTTCTTTGTGTATATAAGGTATGTTCTTTAATGAAGAAAAGCAATGCAATAAGGAGCTTTGCACTTGCTCCTTTGCAATAAGGAGCATTTTCAAACAAAATAAATTTGACAAAAAAGATCACCTGCCTAAAGATGCAATTGTTTCAACTTCTCAGTAACTTGATTTGAAGGTAACGCTTGAATTTTGATAAGAGATGAGTAGTAAGGGCATAGAATTACTTGGCACTGAGCTTTTTAAGTTTCTTGCAGCATACCAAATCTCTTAATTAGCTATTAAGGAGGATTTCTGTAATAAATTCAGGGATTGCATACAAAATTTTGACAATTTTATTGTTCAGGTGCTTTAGAGTATCTGTAACAAGATGCATGAGATTTTCTTTCATTGAGCAAGTGCCCCCATCAAGCAAACTTCTTCTTCATGGGTTTAGGGAAAAATAAAAATGCTGCAGTACATCAGAAGTCTGCAACTACCACTGTACCTGCAGCAGATTAGAGAAACCAGAAAACTCCAACCAGGTTTGGAATTCTGTACGTCCTGCACTTTATAATAAAGCCATTTTGCAACTTCAATCAGCAGTAAATCATTAATGTTATTTCATTTAGTAAAGAATTTAATTTGAAAAAAAAAAGGTACCTTGTAACAGCTTATTTTTGAATGTTTTAAAAACTAGAATGACATATAGAGAACTGTTGATACATCCCCTGTACATCATGTTTAAATTGGTTTTATGTAGTTACCAAGTTTGTTTAGATATGTGTATCAAACTGGAACTTTTTTCAACTGTAAATATATGGTTTTGTTAAATAAAGTCATGTAAAGTTACCTTAATTGCCTATGGTCAGTGTAATTCAGAAATCAAAAATGCAAGTACCTGTCTATTTCTTCACAGGCTTCTTCAGCAGTTTTTGCCTGTCCAAAATCAGGACTTGGGACATTCAAGTATTGCAGGTGGAGGAATTTCTGGTGATGTTTTCCAAGTTCTCATGTTAAAATACCTGTTACATTACATGTCACATTAAGAAGATTTGATACTTATGGTGCCCATGGTGTAATCCATTCCGTATGCCCCTCTCTGGACTAGGTCTCAGATTTGATAAATTTATTATGAAAAATAGATGTAAATACATTTTTGTGAGATGCACAGAACTCTGCAATGCTTGAATGTCGTATCTTTTCTTTGTTTTAAAAGAATGAATCTTGGTTTATTGCAAGGTTCATAATCACAGGGCATTTTTGTGCTCAACTTAAGGCAGTGTTGTTTTAATTCTTACATAGAGACTAAAGTGGAGAAGCTTCCTCTTGCTTACTTAACTGAAAAGAGGGTAAAGCACCAAATAAGATAGATGAAAGCTGGGGGGAGAAGACAGAACTTGTGCTACAAGACTAGATGGGGAACAACAGCCATGGACTTGGCTACCGCGCTTCCAGTTTCTCCAGTAAACATCTCTCGCTTCTTTGCACTGAAGTATCTCGCTGTTAGATTTGCTAATGAGAACATAAAATCAGAATTGCTTTATGTAGGGTGTTCCGGTAGAGCTTTACATGGTCTGTATTACAGGAGTTGCACAAAATCGCTCAGAACCAGATTTCCTTACCTGTGGTTTTCCCAGTATGAATTCCAGACTGTGTGAAGAGAAGTGAAATACTTTCTCACGTGCCAGCACATGAGATTAGGAAATAAAAAGACGTTTGTGTTTACTGCTTCCTGATGGAATGTCTTCCTGTATTTACAGGACAGCAATGGAGGAATCTTTGCTTTTTATCTTCAGGGTGCTTTGGAAGGCTGGGGTAGCAGTGGGTTGTCTCAACAACTCAGCACTAAGAAAAAAAAGTCCTGGGGGCAGCGTGTGAAGTTTAAGCAAATGTCTTGGTAGTATTTTTTTCAGTAGAAATAATCATTAGGGGACTATATTGTCAACTTCATTTGCACCCGAAATTCTTGCTCCTCCAGCTGTCAAACATGCAGCAATGAAAAGCATCTCGTGTTTACTTTCCCTGCTTCTCTTCCAGTAATCTGTCTACATGTGTTGCTTTCTAGTGTTTAAGAAGTTAAAGGAAGGTTTATACATCTTAAGCCAAAAGCAGCAAGAAGTGTAAGAATTTTCCTGGCAGGAATTTGTAAGAAGTCAAAGGAAAAAAAAAAAGGTACCTTGTAACAGGAGGCCAAAGTAACTTCTTCCAGGGAGATGACTGCTGATCTCTATCTATTTATCAAAACAGTTTAGTGGAATACCAGGAGGCTCCTTGACTTGGGCAATAGCCACTCAGCAGAAGAAGAGCTCACTTCTTGTCACAAGGCTTGAGATGAAAGGTACCGATTTTGGTGGGGTGGGGGGTTTTTTTGGTGTTTTTTGCTTTGTTTTTTTACGAGAAGTGGTTGGCAGTTACACTTGTCTGCTTTTCCTATCCAACACCAACAGACAGAGCTGGATCTACTGGTACTTTGTGAAAAGTTCTTGAATATTAGTTGTGTAATGTCTCTTCGTGAACAGAGCGTTTGAGCTGCTGCAGACAGAGAGTACTTCAGTCACTGGCAGAACAAGAGCCCGCGCTGTTCCACGCTGTGCATGCCATAGTTCTGCAGAACTGTGAGGACTTTGGGAGAATATAACCAAATTGCTACTGCGTGATTGCAGTAACACATCGGTGATCTCTCACTTCACTATGACAAACAAGGTTTAAACCTTCAGTACTGTAATTATGTTTTGTCTTTTAACTATCCAGGCAATTCAGAAAAACCTAGCTCAGAGATTATTTAAGAGAGAAAGGTGGGAGCCATTCCTAGAAATGTCTTTATGTCAGTTCATCTACTTTTTACAGGATCTAATTCCAGCCTGTGGTAGAAAACCAGAAGACTCCACTCCTCCTCTTTATCACTGGGATGTGGCTTCTTTCCTGCAGAATTCACAGCCATCGAACACTTGAATCTGGGCCTTTAACACCCACCCTTGACTACTACGAATAGGACTAGATTGCTGGTCTAACTAAACAAGGTATCACAGCTAGAAATTAACAATTAACTAAGTAGGATTGATTCAG